CCTCACCTGCTGCAGAGGGCGGGGCCGTGGGGCCCGCAGACTGAGCTCTTATCGGCTTAGGGCACAGATTCTGATTCGCTGGGTCTGGATGGGGCCGGGGGTCCGCATTGCCGAGGCTCCCAGTGCCGCCCGCGCTCTGGCTCCGGGACCAGACCTTCAGGAGCAGGGACTGCGGGGCAAAGGTCTCGGCCCCAGGGGTGCCCGGGTGGGGTCTCAGCGCTGCCCTGACACCGTAGGAACTCAGGGTACCCGTTCACTTCTCTGAACCCCACTTTCCTCACCTCTAAAGTCGGGATGAGGGTGTCCACCTTGTCGATGTCGATGTCTAAACCTTAAAGACAAACGGCCCAACTCCGGGACGCGCCTGGAAGAAAGCCGGGGTTATTATGTTGGTCAGCTCTCTCCAGGAAGGAGTGTGCCACTGCAGTTTCTCCCTTTGGCCACTGGAGGTCGCCATTGTGTAATTCCTGCGTTTGGAAGTGAGGCGCCCAAACCTCAGAGGAGTGACCCCAGGCCTCTGAGTCAGTAGGGCTCCTGGTGATCCCACCGCTGCCTAGAAATTCTAAGTGAAATCCCTGCACCGGAGGGGGACTCAGACCAATCGATCACAGAAACTAGCAGTTGTCGGTAGACTAACAGTGCGCTAGGTGTAGGTTAGATATTGCAAATCCAGATTTGGTAACAATTCACTAAGATACAATGAAAAAAAATTTTTTTTAAAAAAAGTATATATATATATATAGATATATAGATATATATAAAATAAGGGGCGTGCCCTTCTAGTTGCTAGATGGGACGCTGGCAGGTTCACAAATCACTCGGTAAAGCCAGTAGATCTTCAAAATAAAAGAAAATTTTCAGTCGGTGTGGCAGAAGGCCAAAGAGAGTCGCCAGGAAGACAAGCAGACACGCTGTCCTTCAAACACTGTGTTTCCTGGGGGAGAGGGGAGGGAAGGGAGACAGGCACAGGACCCACCCGTTTGGTCATTTTTCCATTAAAAATGAAACCGGTGTATTTTTCCACTCCAACATGCAAGGAGCGCGGACATGCTCACTCCATCCTGACACCAAGCTGGAAAGCCATCAACTCTTAGATCGGTAAGATTCATCAGGTTACGGTGTACCTGGATGGGAAGGAGCAAGCGCAGCAGAAAAATAATGGAGCAGAGACTCACCAGCAGAACCCTCCACGGGAACCAGTGCCAGGGTACGGAAGCCAGAACTATAATCGATGACCTGCAGCAGGCTCACTCAGGCAAGTCAGAGATACAAGCTCCAGGGGACCCAGTCATAGAGGGAGGAGAGGTGGCCACACTTTACCCCCCGGAGCTCCATCAGGCTCTCACTGTAAACAGAAGAATCCCCTTTGTGCTTCTGGCAGAAGGATGAAAGGAACTACTTTGGAAAGTGCCCTAGCATTCATTCCCTTCTTCACAGGATCTGTCCTCAGGAGAAATGGGGTTTTATCAGAACTTAACTGACCCAGCCAGCTCTAGCCCTCCAGCTGGGGGACGGGGAGTCCCCAGCTCCAGCCCGCTCTAGCCATCTGGTGGGACTGGAGGGGGAACTGAGAGGTACATGTGAAGTTCACATGCAGAATGCAGGCTCGCTGAAAGACTGATCCGATCAGCGGGCTGTAGAACACTGCCCCGGCCCCTACACCCTACCACCACCTTAGTAAAGGCCCAGCAGTTCCTTTACCCAGTATATTAAGTCCAGCCATCAAGAAAAAATTATGAAGATGTATTGGGTTAAATAAAGTGTATTATTAAAATTTCTTTAAAATATGAAAAATAAAAAATTGTAAGACATACTAAAAGGCAAAAAACAACAAACAAACCTACAACAACCACAAAACAAACAAACAAACAAAAACACAGTTTAAAGAGACAGAGCAAGCATCAGAGCTAGACTTCTGGCAGGGATGCTGAAATTATCAGACCAAGAATTAAAAACAACTCTGATTAATATGCGAAGGGCTCTAATTGGCAAAGTAGATGGGCAATGGAACCAGACAGGTGGAAATTCTAAGAAGGAATAAAAAAGAAAAAAGAAAGAAAAATAAATAAAAAAGGAAATGCAAGAAATTTGAAAAAACACTGTTAGAGAGATGAAAAATGCCTTTGATGGGTTTAATAATTGCCCTGGGTACAGCTAAGGAAAGACTCTGAGCCTCAGGATATCTCAACACTGAAAAGCAAATTAAAAAAAAAGTCAAAAAAAAAAGAACAGAAAAGAAACAACTACTGAAAGAGTAACTACTTTTTGTAGAGACAAGGACTGAAAGAGTAACATATGTATAATGGGGATACCAGAAAGAGAAGAGAGAAAGAAACAGAAAATATATTTGAAATAATACTGGCTGAGAATTTCCCCAAAATTAATGTCAGACACCAAACCACAGATCCAGGAAACTCAGAGAAAATCTAGCAGGATAAATGTCAAAAATTATGACACCTCGTCATTTCAAAGAAATTTTTAAAGCAAAGATAAAGGGAAAAAACCTGAAAGAAGCTAGGACATACATACATACATACATACACAAACAAACAATACATCTTACTTATAGAGAAGCAAAGAATTACATCTGACTTCTCAGAAACCATATAAGCAAGAAGAGGGTTAAGGAAATATTTTCAAAGGTGAGAGAGAAAAAACACCAACCTAGAGTTCTGTGGTCCGTGAAATGATTCAAAAGTGAAGGAGAAATGAAGACATTCTCGGACAAACCAAAATTGAGGGGGAAAACTTGAGAGGATTTGTTGCCAGTAGATTTGCTTTGAAAGAAGTGTCTAAAGAGCCTGGCCAGTGTTGCTCAGTGGTTGAGCATTGACCTATGAACCAGGAGGTTGTGGTTCAATTTCCCATCAGGGCACGCCGTGCTGTGGGTTAGATCCCCAGTGCGGGGCATGTAGTAGGCAGCCGATCAGTGATTCTCTCTCGTCATTGATGTTTCTATCTCTCGCTCCCTCTCTCTTGCTCCCTGAAATCAATAAAAATATATTAAAACAGCAACAAAAAAGAAGTGTCTGAAGACGTTCTTTAGAGAGAATGAAAATGAGATAAAGAAGATAACACAATAATAGAACAAGAAAAAAGTGCTTTGAAAAGTGAACAAAATAAAATCTAGCACCACAAAATTACAAGTGTGACAACCAAATTAAAAAATAAATTAAAAGAAGAGTTGAAAAGTTAAGAAAATTTCCCAGAAGAAAAAAAAAGCAGAACAAAAATACTAAAGAGATGGAAAAACAGAGATAACTAGAGTTTCAACTCAGGTCTAACATCTGTCTAACTGGAACTCCAGAAATAGGGAACAGAAAAAAGGGGGGCTCTGAGGGGGGAGGAAAGAAGGAAAATATTATCAAAGAAATAACTCATGAGAAGTTCCCCAAACTGAAAGAGATGAGTCTCCATACTGAGGCCAGTACATTGAATTTTAAGAGCTGCACACTGGAAATAAAGAGAATATCTAAGATTTTCTGAGATGGCAGGGGAGGGGGGAGGGAGGCAGAGGGGAGGCGTGGAGGCCAGGAGGGGAAGAGGCATGCCTCTTGGCATCCTTGCAAGCTAGAAGATAGCAATGCCTTCAGAATTGTAAGTGAAATTTTTCTACCTAGATGTCAGTATACAACCAAACTCTCAATCAAGTGTGAGGCTGAAATAAAAATATTTCCAGGTAAGCATGGGGGTAAATAAATGTGTACCCTATGCAGCCTTTCTTAGCAAGTCACTGGAGAACATGCTTCCGCAAAACAGAGCTGTAAAGGCAGAAAGCAAAAGGCAAAGCACCAGGAAGCAGAGTCAGCTTCAGAAGGATGACCTAGGAGGGTGGTTCCAGAAAGGCTGCTGGGCAGCCGACCAAAAGGTAGCCCCTCAGTTGTCACAGGAATGTGGAGAGCTACAGAAGAAAGTTCTCCAGGGGGGAAATGAAACTCGCCCTGGCCGGGTAGCTCAGTTGGTTAGAGCACTGTCCCGATATGCCAAGGTTGCAGGTTCAATCCCTGGTCAGGGCATACACAAGAGTCAACAAATGAATGCATAAATAAGTGGAACAACAGGTCTCTCTCTCTCTCTCTCTCTCTCAATATCAATCAATAAATAATAATAATAAAAGAATCAGCCCTAGCTGGTTTGGCTCAGGGGATAGAATGTCGGCCTTCAGACTGAAGGGTCCCAGGTCCAATTCCAGTCAAGGGCACATGCCTGGGTTGTGGGCTCGGTCCCCAGTGGGGGGCATGCAGGAGGCAGCCCATCAGTGATTCTCTCTCATCATTCATGTTTCTATCTCTCCCTCTCCCTTCCTCTCTGAAATCAATAAAAATATATGTTTTTTAAAAAAAGAATCAACCGATGAATACGTAAATAGATGAAACAACAGGTCAATGTCTTTCTCTTTCTCTTTTTCTAAAAAAAAGAATATCTTTTTAAAAAACCTACATACATGAGTAGTTTGATGTTTGAAGCTTATAATTATTATTAAATATGAATTGAATGTCTACTATAGACCATGTTCTAATCTAGCTTTTCTGCGTATTATGAGGCCTTAGGCCAGTGATGGCGAACCTATGACACGTGTGTCAGAGGTGACATGCGAACTCATTTTTTTTTGGTTGATTTTTCTTTGTTAAATGGCATTTAAATATATAAAATAAATATCAAAAATATAAGTCTTTGTTTTACTATGGTTGCAAATATCAAAAAA